CGTTCTCAAACAGAAAGAACGAAGAAATGAAATATATGTGCACAGAAATAAATTGCATATTCAGTATACTTTTGCGGATTGAACTAAAATTTGCAGCAAAAGATATCATACTTCAACTCACTTTAGGTAAGTGGAGATCAAACGTTTCCCGATAAGTATATAATCGATCAATGAAGTTGTCTCGTTCATCTTCCAGATTGGCTTCCTGAAAGGATTCATAGTAAAAGAAAACTTGATATCTATTCAAAGATAAATTGCGTGATAGCTATGCCTAAACGACAAGTTAATGTCGAGCAATGACCTATAATCTCTTACATTATATATAATGCATAAAAGGAAAATCGCGTGCAAAAGTACAAATATGGAAACAGTTTGCATAATTGTAGTAATATCAGTGAGTCTTTTTTTTTCTAACGAAAGACCCAATGCACCCATTCTAATTAATTGAACAGACAGTCTGCAGTAGGAAGCAGACATCGCATGAACGGAGACGATCTTTGTAATGGTGTCAAAATGATTCAAGGTCAATATCGGAGATAATGACGGTAGCGTCAATGTGGATAACCGACTTCTGTCAATCAAGCTCATGAGATCAAAACAAGAACTTAAACTACATTTCACAAAAGAAATAACTGCAAATACTTTGATCTTACACAATATAAAGAACATCAAATTCTAATCTACCTTTGTAGATTTCACCCGGTAATCTATTGACAGCTTGTGTGAGATCGGTAATTCACCAGTTATTGGTAGGACCCATATCAGACTTGCCACAACATTCGGTATCAACTCCTAGATAAGAATAACTCCACAGGTAAAGGTTGGGCAAAGACCCACTTACCCCAAGATCCTTATTGATCAACTTTCCGAGCTTATTTGGTGCCTCCTCTCCAGCTTTAGGATCTACTGCTTCAATTACGGCATTTTCCAGAACTACAGTCCATTCTTCAGCGTGACCGACGGCTCGGGCAATTTCGAGCTCGAAAAGGGTTCTAGAAGATTAGCCTGAGATCAGATCACAATAATAGATTTTTTAAAAAGCCATCACAACTACAGGAGAGAAAGCTGACATAAAGTAAAAATGAAGAAAAAAGAAGAAAATGTTCACTTGCTCTCCAACATGGAAGTACTTGATGTCATTATTAATAAAGCAATAAATGGCAATTCCAC